AGGCTGAGGCGGGCAGATCACTTGAGCCCAGGAGTTCAAGACCAGCCTTGGCAATATAGCCAAACCCCGTCTCTACAAAAAATACAAAAAATTAGCCACGCATCCTAGCAGGCACCTGTAGTCCCTTGGGAGGCTGAGGTGGGAGGATCACCTGAGCTTGGGAAGTCGAGCCTACTGCGAGCCAAGATCACGTCACTGCACTCCACCTGGGTGACAGCGTGAGACCATGTCTCAAAAATAAAAGAAAAAAAAAGAGCAGAGCTTGGATTTGGATCTGGCAGTGACTTCAAAGCCTGTGTCCCTAACCATTATGCTATACTGCCTCTTACTATGTTATTGCCTTGTCTGTGAGGTTGAAGATCTTGCTCAGAGTGTGGTTGGGATGGAGGTTGTGCTATTCAGGCTCTAGCGAAATGATTGGTGTTTGTTTCTTGCCCTTGCTGCCTGTGAATACTATGCTTCCTTCCTGGAATGAATGTGGACACTCAATAACATCATAAAGTAATCCTAAGGGCCATTATTAAGACTCAGAAAAATCAGTAGTAGTTATTTCTAGAAACTGAAATTTGCAAGGGACTCTTCCTAAGTTTCCCAATTTCATAATATTTTGGGTTTTTTTCCTTAAACAACAGTCATGGATAAAATTAGAAAAGAACAACCAAGGCTGAGCACATTGGCTCACGCTTGTAATTCCAGCACTTTGGGAGGCTGAGGCGGGCAGATCACAAGGTCAGGAGTTTGAGCCCAGCCTCAATGAAACCACGTCTCTACTAAAAATACAAAAAAATTAGCTGGGCATGGTGGCGCATGCCTATAATCCCAGCTACTCAGGAGGCTAAGGCAGGAGAATCGCTCTAACCTGGGAGGTGGAGGTTGCAGTGAGCTGAGATCACGCCACCGCACTCCAGCCTGGCCAATAGGGCAAGACTCTGTCTCAAAAAAAAAAAAAGAAAAGAACAACCATAGGCCAGGCACAGTGGCTCACGCCTGTAATCCCCGTACTCTGGGAGGCTGAAGTGGGCAGATCACAAGGTCAGCAGTTCAAGACCAGCCTGCCCAATATTATGAAACCCCATCTCTACTAAAACTACAAAAATTAGACAGGCATGGTTTTGGGTGCCTGTAGTTCCAGCTACTCAGGAGGCTGAGGTAGGAGAATCGCTTGAACGTGGGAGGTGGAGCTTGCAGTGACCAAGATTGCACTACTGCACTCCAGCCTGGGCGACAGAGCAAGACTCCGTATCAAAAAAAAAAAAAAAAAAAGAGAGAGAGAAAAAGGAAAGAACAACCACGAATGTTAAGTTTGCATAACAACCTGGAGCTCCGGGTGTGCTCTGGCTCTCTCATTAACTGGCTGTGAGACCTCAGCCTCTCACCTCCTCGTGTCTCACGAGGAATTAGATGATCTTCGAGCTTCCTCCGAGCTCTCACACTTCGTGATTCTACACCAAAGTTTGCGACTCCTCGGGCAGAACCTAAACTGCAGCCTTGTTGGATTCTGGTGCCTGCGAAGGAATTTCCGGTCTTCCCACTGCAGTGGGCATGTTTTGTCTTGCTGTGTCCTTCTTTTATGTGTTTACTATTATTTTTCTTACGAGTGCATGAGTTATACAGAAACTTGTTTAATGAATCATTGCAAGAGCGAACGCAGTAATCCCACCGCATTTTGTAGAAACTCCACTTAAAATTTATGACTCACCCAGCTGAATCTCCATGCCTGGTTATCTTATGACAACTTGAGTATGTGCCACTAAACTGGATTGCACCATTGTAAAAATTAATAGTAACAGTATTGCATTGACCTGAGAGATTTACATATGTGATCTCCTTTCACCTTCACGGAAACCCCGTGACAGATGCGTTATTATTGTCATCATCATCTCCATTTTACAGATTGAGCAACTGAGGCTTCAAGAGGTTAAGTAATTAACTATTTCATGTCTTTGAACTAAGCTGGGATTTTTGGTTTTATTTATTTATTTTATTTAAATAGAGATAGGGTCTCACTGTGCTGCCCAGGCTGGTCTTGAACTCCTAGGCCCAGATGATCCTCCTGCCTCGGCCTCCCAAAATGCTGGGATTACAGGTGTGAGCCACCACACTCAGCCATAGGATTTGTGTCTTAATTATCTATTGCTGCATAACAAATCACCACAAAATGTAGTGGCTTGACACAACCTCCATTGTGTCATCTCTCATGGTTCTCTGTTTTGGGTGGCCTCAGCTAGATGGTTCTCATTTGGAGATTCTCAGATGGCAGCTGGGCTAGAGTCATACAGATGCTTAAGCAGGACACTGGGACACCCAGGCTTCTCTCTGTCTCCACAGAGCCTTGACACCTCTCTACATGGCATTCCTGTGGCCTCTCTGTGTGGCCCCTCTATACGGCATCTACATACAACCTCTTCATGGTGTAGTCTGGACTCCGCAAATGGGCATACACGGGGCTTCTGAAAGCACACAGGCAGCCCTTCTTAATGCCTGGACTTGCAACCCCAGATCATCACCTCCACCTGATTCGATCAGGCAAAGCCAGTCACAGAGCTAGTCCACATTCCACCAGGAAATGCCGCCTAAGCGGGGGAGCACCAGGAGGCACAGCACATTGGGGCTATTCTGGGAGGCTCACCACTGCAGAGTGTACATAACACTGAGTTGGGAACCTTCCAAAAAAAATACCAAAATTATCTGGGCATGGTGGCACATGCCTGTGATCTCAGCTACTTGGGAGGCTGAGGCGGGAGGATGGCTGGAGCCCAGTGTTTCAAGGTAACAGTGAGTTGAGATGATGCCACTGTACTCCAGCCTGGTGACAGACCAAGACCCTGTCTCAAAACAAAAAAAGGCCAGGCTCGGTGGTTCACGCCTGGAATCCTAGCACTTTGTTAGACTGAGGTGGGTGGTTTATGAGGTCAGAAGATCAAGATCATCCTGGCTAACATGGTGAAACCCCATCTCTACTAAAAGTACAAAAAATTAGCTGGGTGTGGTGGCACATGCCTGTAGTCCCAGCTACTTGGGAGGCTAAGGCAGGAGAATCATTTGAACCCTGGAGGTGGAGGTTGCAGTGAGCTGAGATCGTGCCATTGTACTCCAGCCTGGGCAACAAGAGCGAAACTCTGTCTCAAAAAACAAACAAACAATAACAAAAATGGCCGGCCTGGTGGCTCACACCTGTAATCCCAGCACTTTGGGAGGCCGAGGCAGGTGGATCACGAGGTCAGTTGTTCGAGACCAGCCTGACCAACATAGTGAAACCCCGTCTCTACAAAAAATACAAAAAATTAGCCAGGCGTGGTGGAGAGTGCCTGTAATCCCAGCTACTCAGGAAGCTGAGGCAGGAGAATCACTTGAACCTGGGAGGCGGAGGTTGCAGTGAGCCGAGATTCACGCCATGCACTCCAGCCTGGGCAACAGTGTGAGACTCAGTCTCACCAAAAAAAAAAAAAAAAAAAAAAAAGAGAGAGAGAGAGGAAAAAAAATCTGAAAGTCTATTCATGAATCTTTTGCCACATTAAGGGTCGAACAGACAATAGACCCTTCACTCCTCTGCTGACCCCATGGCTTCACCTCTTACCAGGTGGTCGCAGCCCCAGCCTGGACTTTTCATTCCTGCCCTATTGGTCTTCCTGCACTTCCCAAACAGTTTGCTGTTTCTCACCTCTCTACATCCGCCTGGAATACCCTTCCCCACTGTGTCCCTGGTGGCTTCTTGTCCATCCTTCAGAGCCAAGTTTGCAAGCTACTTCCTCTGAGAAGCCTTCCCCCATTCTCTAAGACAGGAGGGAGGGCCCTGGATTCTCCAGGGTCCTGTGGGACCCTGTGTGAAAGTGGCAAACACAGGGTCCCACAGGATTATTTTATTATTTTATAATTTTATTATATTTTATTTTATTTTTGAGACAGAGTCTTGCTCCCCCAGTCTGGAGTGCAATGGCACAATCTTGGTTCACTGCAACCTCCGCCTCCCAGGTTGGAGTGATTCTCTTGCCTCAGCCTCCCGAGTCACTGGGATTACAGGCACCTGCCACCACACCTGGCTAATTTTTTGTATTTTTAGTAGAGACAGGGTTTCACTGTGTTGGTCAGCCTGGTCTCAAACTCCTGACCTCTGATCTGCTCAGCTCGGCCTCCCAAAGTGCTGGGATTAGGCGTGAGTCACTGTGCCTGTCTAACATTTTGGTTTTAATAAAAGGTAAGGAAACCCATTCTGAGAATAGACCAAAACTGGAAGTTTTACCATGGTTAGCATGAATAAAAGATACCTCTTTTTCCACATCATTCCTATAGACTACCTGGCCTGATAGCTCTTCCAGCTTTCTTGTGACTTTTCCTGAAATACTCTAGAAGGAGTAACAAGGAGGAAGGATCGCTTGAACCCAGGAGTTGGAGATGAGCCTGGGCAACATAGTGAGACCCCATCTCTACAAATATTACAGAAAAATTAGCTAGACCTGGTGGGGCCCCAGCTACTAAGGAGGCTGAAGTGGGAGGATTGCTTGAACCCAGAAGTCAAAGCTGCAGTGAGCCATGATTGCACCACTGCACTCCAGACTGGGCAACACAGTGAGACCCCATCTCATTAAAAAAAAAGAAAAAAGAGAAAGAGAACAAGACATGTAAATCAATCATTTTCCTGTTTCAGATAGTTTGTCAAAGTGTTGTCAACAAAGCTATACTCCCCTTCTTTACATCTTCCAAAGAAACTTCTTGCTAACATGTACTTTTTGTCACATTCTGAGAACCTGAAAAGGGAAGCAAATTTAGAATCAAGGCTGTGTTTCAGTTTGGGTTTGATTTTTCTCTCTTTCTGTTTGTGTTTGCTGGTTTTTTTTGTTTTTTTTTTTTGTTTGTTTGTTTGTTTGTTTTTTAGTGAGAACCTCTGCCTGCTTGCCATGCAGTTCTGGATATTTTAGCTTTTTTTTTCCCCTTGGAGGGCAAAATTATAGGGTTCCTTCGACCTAGAGCCACATACAGGACACAGATTTGCTTTCAGAATCCATTTTTATTACGATGAAGCAACAAAGGAGCAGCAGCCTGGGGAATAATTCTAAGAATAGAACTAAAAGCAGAAGTGTGGGTTTTCACAGATTCCTATCAGGAGGATGTATGACTCTTTAATGCTGATACGAATTCTTGCCTTCACTCTTCACCAGGTAACTGAGGGGCAGGGGAATTCAGGCGTGAAAACAGAGCAGCAACTTAAGGGCTCTAAACCCCAGAGGAAATTGCTTCTTTGCCTCTGTTTCTTTATGTGTAAAACATGTTAATATCATAAGTCATAATATTGAGCACTTACTACCAGGCTCTGTACTTAAGGCTTTACATGCACGTAATCATTCATTCATTCATTTAACAAACATTTACTGAGCACCTACTGTGTGCAGGTCCTCCCCTAGGCATTAGGTATATAACTGTACAAATTTCCGACGCTTCAGTAATGTACATTCATTTAACCTGCCCAGTGACACAGTGAAGTTTACTGTAGTTATCCCTGTTTGACAGACGAGGAAAATGGAGCTACAAGTGGTTAAAATAAAACCTGCCAGGCTGGGTGCGGTGGCTCATGCAGGTAATCCCAATACACTGCGAGGCCAAGATGCGGGGACTTTTTGAGGCCATGAGTTTGAGACCAGCCTGGGCAACACAGTGTGTGAGACCTCATCATGGCTACACTCCCAGCTATTCAGAAGACTGAGGTAGGAGGATTGCTTAAGCCCAGGAGTTTGAGGCTACAGTGAGCAATGAGCATGGCACACACTCCAGCCTGGGCAATACAGTGAGACTCTGTGTCTGAAAAAACAATCACAGGTCTAGTACATGCTTGAGCTGAGTTTCAAACTTAGATGCGTCTAACACTCTGTAGCCCATATTTTTCATCACTAGGCTGTGCAGTGCCTCTGAAAAAAGGAATAATAGGGACAGCCTAAAGAGTTGGGTTTTTTTGTTTTTTTTTGTGTGTGAGACAGAGTCTCACTCTGTCATTCAGGCTGGAGTGCAATGGTGCAATCTCAGCTCATGGCAACCTTCACCTCCCGGGTTTAAGTGATTCTCCTGCCTCAGCCTCCTGAATAGCTGAGATTACAGGTGCCCATCACCGCACCTGGCTAATTTTTGTATTTTTAGTAGAAACGGGATTTCACCATGTTGACCAGGCTGGTTTCAAACTCCTGACCTCAAGTGATACACCTGTCTCGGTTTCCCAAAGTGCTGGGGTTACAGGTGTGAACCACCACACCCGGCCTTACAGGGGTGTTTTGAGGCCAAAGAACTAGAAGTTGGCAAAGTTCTTAAGTGGGGAGAGTACCCTGGGCATTTGAGAGAGTATAAATTAAGGATTTGAGAACCATGTTCACCACTTTGCAGGTTGAGAAAGGAGCTACAGTTGGCCTGGAATGTTCCCCCTAATGCAAGGCAGGGGCGGCTTGTCATTTCACAGAGTCCTCTGTTTTGAGGGGTCCAGGTACACATTTGGGAAACTCCTGTGCATGAGGGAGTCTTGCAATAAGAGGACAACATTGATAGTCACACAGAACAGGTCTAGAAACTATATTCCATGAAAGGTTGAAAGTTCTTAACTTCTCCATCCCTAGCCCCCAAAACACTTTATTGTCACACAGCAGTTGACTAATGACCCTCTGGCAAAAATGACACAGTATAGTGCCTGCCACCAAATACAAATCCAGCAAATACCTGGAGAAGAAATAAGTGAATAATTTCAATTCACAGTCACATAACAAGTCGTCAAAAGCAATTGTGTTGGACTCAGCACACGACACTGGAGAAGCCAGGGCTGGGGAACGGATCCTCAGCACCCGCTTTGAAACACACACATGTGAAGGGCAGGGCAGATGGTTTTGCTGCTGTTTTTCTTGGGCTACTGGGAAGTCACAACAATCACAAAGAAATGTACAGAGGGGCCCCAGTAAAGATGAAAATTAATAGGATCAATACATTCCAATCTAAAGAGCCTCATTTGGCCTGAAAAAAGTATTGACTTAGTCTGGTTCCTATTTCCCGAGATGAGAAATGATTTACGCTGAGAGGATAGAAAGTATTGCTAACTGCCCCCAACTCCCTAACAGGAAATACTGCTAACTGCCCCCCCCCCACACCCTCTAAGAGAGAGAACATCACCCATTTAAACACATATGCCCATTTACTTAGCGGATTAAAATTACACGGGGGAGACCAGGCATAGTGGCTCACTCCAGTTATCCCACCACTTTGGAAGGCCGAGGCTGGCGGATCACTTGAGGTCAGGAGTTTGAGACCAGCCTGGCCAACGTGGTAAAACTATGTCTCCACTAAAAATACAAAAATTAGCAGGGCCTGGTGGCTGGAGCCTGTAATCCCAGTTACTCAGGAGGCTGAGACAGGAAAATTGCTTGAACGAACCCAGGAGGCGGAAGTTGCAGTGGGCCAAGATCATGCCACTGTACTCCAGCCTGGGCGACAGAGCAAGACTCCGTCTCAAAACAAAAACAAACAAACAAAATTACACAGGGGCTGTGCAGTTCCTAATCCCCTCCCAACACACACAGACTCCACTCCAGGCACATTCAGTCCCCTGCCATTGTAATCAGATAAGAAAATGCAATCAACTCACTTCAATCAACTGGAACCTCCCCAAAAGGTGCAGTTATGTGAATTTCATTTCCGACAGAATGAGAAGGATGCAGCTCATGTGTGTGAAGCCGTCTTGCAATAAGAAAGAGGAGTGGCAATCTCAAAGCCCCCAACCCCTTAGCATGAGTTAACTCTAGGTCACCGCTCTGTCTTCCTCAACCTTGCTGGTCTGTTTGTTCAGCACCACTCAACACATTTGGGGATCCCACTGCCCATCAGACAGGGTTTGGAAACTATTTGCCACACCGATGGAACTCTTGCGACTGACGTTCGAAACTGGCATCTCTTCCACCCTTTGTGTTTTTGAATGTCCTGGCTGCTTGGGTTTCAGACTGCAGATTTTGAGCTTGTTGTAGAATCTGGGAAACGAGGGACTTGAAAAATAATACACCAGGGGATCCAGCATGCTGTTCATGTAGGTGAAGCTGAGGGTAATGTGCAGGGCCACATGGACAGATGGATCGCAGGCACTCGAGGGCACCGTCCAGAGGAAATAGAGCCTGGCGGACACGCTGGGCAGGTAGCCTGTGATGAACACAACCGCCACCACCATGATGAACCGGGTCGCCCTCTTCATCCGAGCCTGTCTGGCCAGCTGCTGCCTCTGCCTCAGGCTCCAAACGATCTTGAAGGAGCAAAATAAGATGATGCCAAGGGGCAGAAAGAACTCCAGCTGGAACATAATGTCGTGCCAGCCATTGGCTGACTCCATGATGAAGCTCTCACAGGAGACGGCTGTGTCTTGCACACAGAGATGGTTCCCCAGCAAAAGATACAGCGTTCCCAGAATGACCAGGGTCCACAGGGTGCAGACGATGCCAGCCGCCTTCCGGTTGGAGATGGTGTTCACCGCGTGGTGGGGATGGACCACTTTGAAATACCTGTCCACTGCCACCACCGTAAGGAACATGATGCTCCCGGCCCGGTTCATGGCCAAAGTGAAGAGCCCCACCCGGCAGGGAATGTCCCCAAAAGCCCAGTGTCTACCTCTAAGGTAATAATCTGTCCGAAAAGGCAGGCAGATCATGAGCAGGAAATCAGCCACGGCCAAGTTGAAAAGGTAAACAGTGCTCGGCTTCCAGGTCTTCATGTGGAAGCAGAAACCACACAGGGCGACCCCATTGCCCAGCAAGCCCAGCACAAACGCCACGATGAGAAGCGGCGGCATCACCTGGGAGATGGCGTCCCCCTCGATGTGGCAGCACGATCCGTTGTACATGGCGAGGACAGAGCGAGTGTCCGGGTGCGGAGCAGCCCAGGGAGTCCCCACAAAGGCACAGATGCTTATCTGAGCGTTACCACTCACCTGGCTGCTGCGTGTCTGACTTCATCACCCAGGATGCGGGTCCTGCGAGTATGGGTTGGATGCTGCCTCAGCACTGAGAAGAGGAACTTCAGCCAGGAAATGAGAGACCCAGGGAGGTCCTTTCTTTGGAGCCCACTCACAAGCCGCCTGCCTCTCCCAGAGGCCAAGCCTGCAGCCGGGCGAAGCTTGGAAATGCATGCAATTTAGCCAAAGTGGTCGTTTCTGGGAGGCGGCGGGATGCGGGGGTCCAATGAGCCTCGTGCAGTAGAGGAGCCATTGGGTCCAGCTCTGGAATAATTTTTATTTTCGGCTTCGCCCTTCCTGCTCGGAGTCGGAGCTGGAGAGCACACAGAGCTGCCCAGAAGGCAAGAAAAAAGCTTGTTTGTCCTCCCTCCTGGTGGAGAAATCCAAACATTTCCTGGAGTCGTTCTGGGTCTCTGCCTTTGCTTTCCTCCCCTAACCTTTGCCTGACTGCCTGGTCCTCTCCCCATCCCACGGGGCACTCCCATGCGGTGCCAGAGAGGGGAGGCTTTGCTCTGCAGCTCCTTCGGGCCATTTCCTGTGCCCAAAAATACCGCGTTCAAAAATTGGAAGTCTGCGGAGAAAACGGTTCTAGTCATGGTACCTGATGGGTGTTCGAAACATTCCTTAACGGGAGTCCCCTTTCCTCCCCTCTATTCCCACCTCCCCGCCCTTTGCATCTTCCGTCAACCCAAGTGGCCAGTTGCACAAGCAGCAAGACCGTGAAATAGATCCAAAGCCCACTTCTCATATGTCCGTCTCCACCAAACGGCCTCTTTGGGAGCCGGTTCCCCCCTCTGCTGGGAAGCAGAGCCTAAAACTTTTACAAGATTTGGCTCTGCCTGGGCAATAAAGTTAACACTCCCGTTCTCTCTCCCTCTTCCTCTTCCTCTTTCTTCCTCTTCTTCACTCCTTTTTTTCTTTCCTTCTCTTTTTCTTTCTTTTTTTCTTTCAAAAAAAAAAAAAAAGATTTCCCCATTATAAAATTAGCAATGATATTTTGCTCATGTCTTCTTAATTTTACATAAGTTTCTTGGTAAAGAAAAAACCGTTTCTTGATATATTTTATTAAAAAAAAAAAGATTTGGCCCTGAGATGCCATTGGCTGCTGGAGAGAGCCAAACACCGTGAGATGTACGTTTTTAATTTCATTTATGGGCTGAGCCCATCAATTAAAATTGCCCCCGGGAGCAGATGAGTTCTGGAGGAGCTGGTTAAGGAATCCATCTCTAAAGCAATCGTGAGTAAAATTAGACTGCACCAAAAACTGGAGTCTTTGCTGAAATGTCCTGTCCTTTGGCTTTAAGGATTATCAATCTGCCCTGTGCCTTTCAGCTTCCAGTTTAGAAAATGGGGTAAAAGTGTGGCAAGGTGGCTGGTACCTGTAATTCCAGCACTTTGGGAGGCCGAGGCAGGTGGCTCACTTGAGGAGTTTGAGACCAGCCTGGCCAACATGGTGAAACCTCATCTCTACTAAAAACATACAAAATCAGCCGGGTGTGGAGGCACGCATCTGTAATCCCAGCTACTCGGGAGGCTGAGGCAGGAGAGTCGCTTGAACCCGGGGGGTGGAGTTGCAGTGAACCAAGACTGTGCCACTGCCCTCCAGCCTGGCGACAGAATGAGACTCCGTCTCACTTAAAAAAAAGAGAGAAAAAGAAAATGGGGTGGAAAAGACGGGGTGCATTGAAAGAATGTATCTGTCTTCTAGGTGCACAGTGAAGCCAAATCATCCATCCCAGTGGATGCTGGACTCCAAATGTGTCCACCAACATTCTCCTCTGCCTCGCCCTAGCACAGACCACGGTCACCTCCCACCTGAACTGTTGAAACAATTTCCTAACTATGGGCGCATGCCACCATGCCCAGCTAATTTTTTTGTATTTTTTTTTGTAGAGATGGGTTTTTGCCATGTTTTCCAGGTCTCAAAGCCCTGGGCTCAAGTGATCTACCCACCTTGACCTCTCAAAGTGCTGGGATTACAGGTGTAAGGCACCCGTGCCAAGCCTAACTCCTACTTTTCATGAGAGCTCATAGTAACCATTTCCATTCTGTGGGCCTTTGTGATTCTGGGAGAAGGCGTAATCTAACAGGGGTAAGCATGGTAGGCTACATACCCCAAGATGAGGCTAGAGGGGTAACCCTGAGTGCTTCATTTGCTTAGCATGGATTTTTCAACAAATGGAAAATATTCTTCGTTCTGCGTTCCCAGATACTGTTGGGATTCTTGTAAACACAAATACTTCCCTTTTTTTCACGTGACTAACACCTGCCTTTCTTTTCTAACTCCTTTGTCTCATTAAATCACCTTCCTCTTGCTTTTTTTTTTTTTTTTTTTTGAGACTGTAGAAGTAGCTGGAAGGCAGAGGATTAAGGAATTAAAAATCAGTACCTGTTCCTCTGAAAGTCTATTGGTTTTTTGGTTTGTGTGTTTTGAGACAGAGTCTGGCTCTGTCGCTAGGGTTGGAGTGCAGTGGCACAAATGCAGCTCACTGCAACCTGTGCCTCTGGGGCTCAAGGGATCCTTCCAACTCAGCCTCACAAGTAGCTGGGACCACAGGCATGCACCACCACACCTGGCTAATTTTTGTATTTTTTGTAGAGACAGGGTTTCACCAGGCTAGCCAAACTGATACCGAACTGCTGGGTTCAAGTGATATGCCTGCCTCAGCCTCTCAAAGTTCTGGGATTACAGGTGTGAGCCAGTGTGCCTGTCCCAAAAATCTGCTTTTTCACATACAATCTGATCTTATTCTATCCCAGGGCTTCAGGAAAGTGCTGCCTCTCTCTTCTTGGACTTCCTGCTCAAGATCATACTCCAGTGCCCTATTCGTTTGTGCATCAAATTTAAATCTACCTAGGCTGGCGCAGTGACTTATGCCTATAATCTCAGGACTTTGGAAGGCTGAGGCAGGCAGATCACTTGAGGTCAAGAGTTTGAGACCAGCCTGGCCAGCATGGTGAAACCCCATCTCTACTAAAATTACAGAAATTAGCCAGTCATTGTGGGGCATGTCTGTAGTCCCAGCTACTCCAGAGGCTGAGTCACAACGATTGCTTGAACTCAGGAGGCAGAGGTTAGAGTGAGCCAAGATTGCACCACTGCACTCTAGTCTGGGCCACAGAGTAAAACTCTGTCTCAAAAAAGAAAAATTGTCCAGGTGCCTGTAATTCCAGCACTTTGAGAGGCTGAGGAGGGCAGATCACCTGGGGTCAGGGGTTTGAGACCAGCCTGGTCTACATGGTGGAACCGCATCTACTAAAAATACAACAATTAGCCAGGGATGGTGGCAGGCGCCTGTAGTACCAGCTACTCGGGAGGATGAGGCAAGAGAATCACTTGAAGCTGGGAGGCAGAGATTGCAGTGAGCCGAGGTCATGCCATTGCACTCCAGCCTAGGGGACAAGAGTACGACTTTGTCTCAAAAATAAATAAATAAATACATACATAAATTGAAAAATTAATTCAAAATAGATCCAAGATCTAGATGTAAAAGCCAAAACTACCAAACTCTTAGAAGAAAACATAGGGAAAAGCTTAATGACACTGATTTTGGCAATGATTTTTGGATATGACACCAAACATACAAGCAACAGAACAAATAAGATAAATTGGACTTCATCAAAATTAAAAACCTTTGTGTCTCAAAGGATACTCACTATCAACAGACAAGGTGAGGTCAGGTGCAGTGGCTCACACCTGTAATCCCAGCACTTTGGGAGGCCGGGGCAGGTGGATCACTTGAGGTCAGGAGTTTTAGGCCAGCCTGACCAACAGGGCAAAACCTAAAAATACAAAAATTACAAAATACAAAAATTAGCTGGGTGTGGTGGTGCGCACCTGTAGTCCCAGCTGCTTGGGAGGCTGAGGCAGGAGAATACCTTGAACTTGGCAAGCAGAGGTTGCAGTGAGCTGAGATCGCGCCACTGCACTCCAGCCTGGGTGACAGAGTGAGACTCCATCTTAAAAATAAAAACAAAACAAGACCAGACAAGGCAATATGGTTTGGCTGTGTCCCCACCCAAATCTCATCGTTACTTACCACAACTCCCAAGTGATGTGGGAGGGACTATTCAGTGGGAGGTAATTGAATCATGGGGTGGGACTTTTCTGTGCTATTATTGTGATAGTGAATAATTCTCACAAGATCTGGTGGTTCTATAAAGGGGAGTTTCCCTGCACAAGCTCCTTTTCCTTATCTGCCGCCAAGTGAGATGTGCCTTTCACCTTCTGCCATGATTGTGAGGCCTCCCTAGCCACGTGGAACTGTGAGTCCATTAAACCTCTTTCTTTTGCAAATTGCCCAGTCTCGGGTATGTCTTTATCAGCAGCATTAAAATGGACTAATACACAAGGCAATCCATGGGATGGGAGAAAGTATTTGCAAACCACATATATGCGATAAGGGATTAATATTCAGTATATATAAAGAGCTCTTACAAATCAAGTACAACAACAATTTAAAAAAACAATTAAATATAGGCTGGCAGCAGTGGCTCATGCCTGTAATCCCAGCACTTTGGGAGGCCAAGGTGGGAGGATTGCTTGAGCTCAGGAGTTTGAGACCAGCCTGGGTAACATGGCAAAACTCCGTTTCTACAAAAAAATAGAAAAATTAACCAGGCATGGTGGTGTCCACCTGTAGTTCCAGCTACTCAGGAGGCCGAGGCAGGAGGATTGCTTGTGTCAGGAGGTTAAGGCTACAGTGAGCTGAGATCGTGCCACTGCACTGCAGCCTAGGTGACAGAGTGAGCCCCTATCTCCAAAAAGTAATAAAATAAAATGGGCAAAGGCTAGAACAGTCCTATCTCCAAAGAAGATATACAAGGCCAATAAACACATTTGCCAAGGAGAGACTCAACAGTATAACTAATCACTAGGGAAATCCAAATCAAAACCACAAGATATCACTTCACACACATTAAGATGGTTATCATTTAAAAAAAAAAAACACCGAAAATAACAAGCATTGACAAAATTGTGGAGAGATTGAAGCCCTTCTGCATTGTTGGTGGGAATGAAAGATGTGGAAACTATGTGGCAGTTACTAAAAATATTAAGATCTGGCCATTCTATTTCCTGGTATACACCTGAAAGAATGGAAAGCAGGGACCTGAACAGATGTTTGCACATTCACGTTCGTGGTAGTATTGTCACAATAGCCGAAAGGCCGAAGCAGCCCAAGAGTCCATCAGCTGATGAACAGATAAACAGAATGTGGTCTATACACACAATGGAACACTATTCTGTCTAAAAAAAGAAAGGAAAGGGCCGGGTGCAGTAGCTCATGCCTGTAGTCCCAGCACTTTGGGAAGCTGAGGCGAGTGGATCAGTTAAGAGTCCAGCCTGGATAACATAGTGAGACCCTGTCTCCACAAAAAATACAAAATTTAGCCAGGCGTGGTTGCGGGCATCTGCAATCCCAGCTACTTTGGAGGCTGAGGCAGGAGAATCGCTTGAACCTAAGAGGTGGAGTTTGCAGTAGCCAAGATTGTGCCACCGAACACCAACCTGGGCAACAGAATGAGATCCTGTTGCAAAATACATATAT